TTTTTCTTTTTCTTTTTGGCTTATTTCGCTGAGCATGATCCCTTCCAGTGCCATCCATGTTGCTGCAAATTGCATGTGTTTATCTTTTTTGAATGCTGAGTAATATTCCATGGTATATATGTACCACATCTTCTTGATCCAGTCATCTATTTTTGGGCATTTGGGTTGTTTCCAAAGCTTAGCTATTGTAAACAGTGCTGCTATAAACATAGGAGTGCAGGTGCTCTTTGGAATTGATGTTTCTGTGTCCTTTGGGTAAATACCTAGGAGTGGAATTGCTGGATCATATGGAAGCTCTATGTTTAGTAGGTCCAGAAATCTCCACACAGCTCTCCATAGTGGTTGGACCAGTTTGCACTCCCACCAACAGTGCACAAGAGTTCCTTTTTCTCCACACCCTCGCCAACATTTGTTGTTGCTAGTTTTTTTAATATGTGCCATTCTCACTGGTGTGAGATGGTATCTCATGGTAGTTTTGATTTGCATTTCCCTGATGACAAGTGATGTTGAACATTTTTTCATATGTCTGTTGGCCATTTGCATTTCCTCTTCAGAGAAGTTTCTTTTTAGCTCTTCTGCCCATTTTTTGACTGGATTATTTTCTTTGTTGTTGCTGAGTCTCATCAGCTCTTTGCAGATTTTTGTGATCAGTCCTTTATCATTAGTGTTGGGTGCAAAAATGTTCTCCCAGTTGGTGGGGTTTCTCTTTGTTTTTGTTATTGTCTCTTTTGCTGTGCAGAAGCTCTTTAATTTGATGTAGTCCCAGCTGTTTATCTTTCTCTTCACTATCACTGCTTTGGGTGATGTGTCTGTAAAGATGTCTTTGATATGCAAATCCCGTAGTGTTTCGCCTATATTTCCTTCTATGTATTTTATGGTTTCAGGTCTTATGTCTAGTTCTTTAATCCATTTTGAGTTGATTTTTGTGTATGGTGTGAGGTAGTGGTCAAGCTTCATTCTTTTGCATGTAGCGACCCAGTTTTCCCAGCACCATTTATTGAACAAACTTTCTTTGCTCCAATGCATAGTCTTTGCTCCTTTGTTAATCCCTCCATTCTGCATGCCCCCTTTTAGCCTTACAGGTGAGCCCATGACATCTTTTCCTTGACGCCCACTATTTCTTCTGTCTTTTTACTCTCAAAGTGATTTGCCTCCACATGTGTTTTCGACCCAGTTCCCTTATCTCTTTGGAGGTCTTTTTTGAGGTCCCAGTATTCCTTTCTTGGTTCAAAACATTTAGAGTTATTTTTACCCTGAAACAAGCAAACAGAAATTCCCTCTAATTGCTGTTCAATTTCTCTTTGCCACCCAGACTTTTGAAGAGAAAGTTTTACTCTCACTGCCTCAACCTTGACCCCATCCTTGCACTGCCTACCTTCCATATAGTCCTGCTTTGCTCCCAACGTGTTCTCCCTAGAGAAACTGTACATCCCAGAGACGGCGAGATTCTGAGTCAGAAAACTGGGCCTCAGTTCCTGTATAGGAACCTCACTTTCTTCATCTCCTTTGTTATAAGTGTGAAATGAGTTAATAGATTAGGAAAATGTGCCCCCAGCATGCACACACACACTGCAAGGAGTTATACAGCTGTTAGTAGCTAGTGACACTAACTAAAAAAGGTCACAAAGATGACCTTTTCTTTTTTAAAGATTTATTTATTTATGAATACAAGAGGTGGGGTGAAGGTCAGAGATGTGGTGGGTGAGAGGATCCACCAGAGACAGAGTGGGGAGCAGAACAGGCAGATCTACTGGAACACACTGCTGAGTGGAGCAGCAGGTGAGACAGGAGGGGTCTGCTGCGCCATGTGAATCACCTCCCTGGCTGGGGATCAAACTCGTTCTGCAGCGGCTGCAGACAGCTTCATAGTGCTGTGTTTTAACCCCTTGAGCCACCAGGAAGGCCCAACATGATCTTTTCATCAGCTGTTTGAAAGACATTTCCTCAATCTCATAATTTCTAGACTCCTTTCAAATCTGCTGATCTTGTCCAACTTTTTTGAAACTCTTTATTTCCATGTTTTTCTCTTTATTTATTTCTAGGAAATGAACATCTCTTATCCAGTTACCTCTTCTGATTCTCTTCTTGCCTCCAGTGGGAATAGTCCTGAAAGTGTTCTTCCTTTCCATTCTTAGAAATGTTGCGTCCTTGCTTAGAAGTAAAGGAATAATCACTCCCAAGCATCCAGCTGTCTTTTCTGGGTGCATAACCAGCATGAACTTCTCTTTGGAGCTTTGGCCCGAAGTTTGCAACTCTGCTGGATTTTTCTGCCAGATTTTTCTGCCAGAATCTCAAACTCCTCATTGCTAATATGAGATAGATCAGCACATTTTTTTTGAGAATCACAGACAAAGGCCAGACAGTGGATGACTGATGACTGGCCAGCCCTGCAAACATCAGAGACCGACAACAAGATACCAACTAGAAATAGAACCATCCCTTTTACATAAACTTTATGTAATGAATGATGGCATCTCCATTCAGTTAGAAGGCAGTGATAGCCAGGCCCACAGGTCTCTGGGCATTTCTGTGACATTTTATGGATTGTCAATTCCCTATGTTACCCATCTCTGTGGATTCCAGATTCCTGATTCTCAAAGATGTCAATAGCCAAACTCTATAAGCTGACCTCATGGGGGTCCCCCTGAAAGCCCCCTTGATTGGTGAACACTGTATTTACTAAAAGACTAATGAGAACGATTCGGTCGGATAGCATTTTCCTGGCCTCCACCAAAGAAAACCACCCATCTGGTTCATCTGGCCCTAATATTCTCTCCTTCTGAAAATTCTGAGTCACATCAAACTATAAAAATTTGTTCTTGATATGAGAGAAAATACATGTGATCCTCCCATGTTCTCTCCCTCCTGGCCTCTCTAATTTATTTCAATGTAGGTGTTTACTGAATGTTAATTTTCTTTTCCTGTTTCCCTTTATCCATCTGCAAGTGACATGAAGGCAGGGATTCTGTATTTCTCATTTTTTGTACCCTAGCACTGTGCCTTACCTATTTCCCATACACATATTAAATTAAGTAGAAAATACCTTGGTTGGTGGTATGGGAGAATCCAATTTGAAAACGGAATCTAGAAGCGTCAGGCACAGTGCCTCTTGCATGGAGTTGTGGGCTGTGCTGTCCATGTACTATTTGGTAGTTGTATCTGAATATAGCAACTGCTGATTCTCAGCCTGTAGCGGAGAACTCTCCCAGGCCCATCCATTTGGCTGTGATTCCTTAACATGGACCTGGGCCCTCTCCCTCCCCACCCCTGGGTTCAGCCAGGTAGCTAGCAACCTGTGATTTGCTGGCGGAGTGTTTGCACAGACCAGTGGGAACTAGTTGTGCAGAGTTCTTCCCAATTCTGTGTGCAGCGATATCACTTTGGCAACTTGAAATTGGCGATGTGGGAGTATTTACACCATGGGAGCTGGCAAACACTAGGAATCAGGGCTTTCTTTTTCCCCAGAGAGAGGCTGTAAAACATTTACAAGCAGACTGCTGCTGCCAACATACTTCCTGGGCATCTTCTGGCACGCCTGGCCTCATCTGAGCCATACATTTCTGCTCTGATATCCCTTCTTCACAGAGACCTCAGTTGCTTTCTCTTGTATCCCCACTCTTTCCTTCAGGGCTCTCTAACTACCCTGTGCCTGTCTATTATGAACTGCTCTGTTCAAGTCCTCATCAGAGGCTTTGTTTCATCTCTTCCTGTTCACTGTCATACTCCCAGCATTTAGTGCAGGCCCAAGCATGTCATTGGCACCCAAGATATATATTTCTGATCAATGAATGAAAGCATAAGTGGTTCCGTTGCAGTGGCTCTGCCACTGCTCAAGCGGAGGGGCATGGCAGCTTTGCTGGCACTGTGCATCCTTAGCATGCGCTGGCCCCTGCCCCAGCGCCAGCCAGGTTTTGGTGCCAGAGTCCCTGGGGCTCCTGTGGCATCTGTCTGGGCTGCAGAGGAGGTGCCAAAGTGTGCCTCCCTTGGGCAGTGTGCAGGGCAGTGGCTTCAGCCTCTATAGCAGCTGTGGCTGCCCAGGTCCAGAGCAAACTAGCCCCAGAGATCTGGGAGCGGAGGCAGCCCTAAGCCCCAAGGCCTCTGTCTCAGGATTACTGAACCAGAATTCAGTGTTGGGCCCCACTGGGGGTGCTCTGGTGCTGTACTTTCCTGAAGCCACAGGGAGAATGGCCTACAAATGGTGGGCTTCAGCAGCAGCCCACCCTGCACTGCTGCAGGGTCCCCGGCGCTGGTGCACCAGCCCCACTGAGGAGCCCTGGCTGCAGTGTGCTGCTGACTCCACTGAGGCTGGCTCTGGCTGTGGCTCTGCAGAGTCCACCAGGTCATGAGCTTGCCCTGACCTCAGTGTACATTGGGTCTGGGCAGATGCCACGGTTTCCCCCTTTGGAAGCTGTTGTCAGGATCATAAATGGACCAGTTAAGTTCAAGCTCAGTGGACCAATCAGGTTCGAGCTTGCTGGTTACATCCAAGGGCTTGAGTTCATTATGTGTATTGAAAATAGAGCAGCATCAATCAAACAGCTAGGGTTGAAAAATGGTCCAATCAGGCTTATGGGGTGGAGACACTGAACAGGATATAAGGCAGAGCAGGTGCCAGCTTGAGGGATTCACCAGAATGCCTCCGAAAAGGATTCAGTAGACCTTCACAGAACTTTGCAGACTCTGTGATCTTTGCAGACTTCCAGACCTCAGTAGATCTATGCAGAGATCCAGCCATGCACCTGCCTCTAGAGCTGACTCAGACATTGCCTGCAAGGAGCACTGCTGACAGGGGCCTGGTGTCTCTCTGAAAGAGCTGTGTGATGTTGGTATAAGCCAATAGCTCACAAGGAGCAATAACACAAGTGTCTCTGACACCGCCTCCTGTGACCAGTGCTGACTGGCACTGCTGACCTGTGTGGGGCCTCCTCTGAGAGTGCTTCACCACTTTTGATCATCTGGTACTGCCTCATGGTGCTGTTGCCTCTGTTTCTGTCAATCAGACATCCAGTGCTGTCCAGCCCGGCCTTCAGACTATTGCTGTGAGCTGCTTCAATGTCACCTGGGCCGCCCCACCTGCCAGCACCTCCAGATGCCACTGTGAGTTGGATCCTGGTGCACTGCTCACTGTTGTACCACCAACTCCAGGCTCTCATCAAAGGTATGGTGCCATCTTCCATGAGTGGCCTTGTTTGGAACTCCCTGACACCATGGACACTACCTGTGGTGAGACAGCTGGCCACTTGTGGCATTGCAAGTGCTTTCCTTTTACCTGACCCCTCCTTTGTTTAACAAACCCGATTATCGTTGCACCTTGAGCCTGAGTGGTCTTGAAATTGTGTGGGTGGCAACCCACAGACAGTGACCTGTCCCCCTCCTTGGCTGTTTTAGTTCCAACCTCTCAGCATCAGAAATGTAAAGCAGATTATCTATAGACTTGTTTGTGCCTCCCCAAATAATGAGTGTTTTTCATTGCATTCCCAGGATCTAGCAGAGTGCCCAGAGCAGGATAGAAGCTCAATTTTTCAGAACGAATAAATGGGTAAAATTAGGGGCCATCTAATTCTGTGAATTTCCCTGTAGCCCCTTAGAAAGCTCTTGTTCTTCTACCTTCATCAGCACCACAGAGCCCTGCTGTGTCCTTCTGAGAAAGCAAAATCTCCAAGGTGGAGGAGTTCCCACCAACACGACTGCTGGAAAGATTGGGGTGGCATCAATTTATCTCATCCAACTTGTGTTTTTCTTCTCTGAATGGGTCCCAGCAATTCATTATGTCACCCTTAGGCAAGCCACCAAATGGGAGTGAAGGAGGCCTTGGCCCCCGTCCTTCCCAGCCGGTGTCGGCAGAGATAGCTTTCCCTGCATGGATGAACAGCTGTGAGACACCTTTGCCCCAGCCTCCTGGAGAAGGCAAAAGAAGTTTTCTAAATATTTTCCTGCCACGCGGATCACTGAATTATGCATGAGGCCAAACCCAGGGAACAGCAAATCGTTGTGGGATGGAGGGGGTAGGGTTCACTAGAAAGGGAAATCGAAACCTAGCTTGCCTTCTCCTTGTGAAGGGTTTCCTCCATTGATAATTAGTTTTATATTATCTCACATCTTTAATAGATTATTGATGCTTTTGGCAGAGATATAATCCCAGTGTCAGGAGTAATTCTCTCTAGTGTGCCGCGCCGGCTACACTCAGGCAAGGCAGCGTGGACGCAGGGCCTGGCTGATCCTACTCAAATCAATTCGATCCAAGCCTTCGCTGGGCATTGACATGCAGGAGGAAAGAAAGATGCATATTTATGATTCGCCTCAAAAGCAGGAGAGGTCATGAGACTTGGTGAGTGTGGTGGCGAGATGGCTAAGGAAGGCTCCTTTCGCCATCCTCTTGGGATGGAAGATGCCATGCATGTGCTTTTTGCTCCCTGGCCTCAGCTTGCACGACCAGGTTGTGCAACCCACCAAAGGCAAGTGGAGATGCTCTCAGGTGCGGAATGAAAATGGTCACCTTCGTCTCGGTCAGCTCTGCTTCTTTATCTGCCCCCTTTCCCCTTCTTCTTTGCCTATTGGGGGGCAGTGCTTCCACACCGGAAGACTCCAGGCATTTCATGAGGCAGAAGTGCCTCTAAATGTCCAAGGCTAGACTATCAAGAGTGGGGTAGGGAAGGGGCTCGGATATTTGAATATGGATCTTAGGTAGACAACAGGATTCCTAAACCGAGCAGAGACACCACTGAGGTCCACCCCTGTCCTTCAGGGCACCCCATCTCAGTGATATCCCAGATGAGCTGAGGCAGCAACCAGCTAGGGATCTGCCAGCCAAGGCTTTAGGTCATTTAGGGAAGCGACGTTGTGCAATAGAGATGCTTTATTTTGGACGTGCGCTCACTTCCTTTATAAGGGACTGAACACTGGTATTGAATCTTTTTTTTAATGACTTGAATTGAGTCCTAGATTGGCTATTTGAAAGCTTTGTGACCTTGGTTAAATTGCTTCACCTCTCTGAATCTCATTTTTTTTCCATCAGCAACACAGGAACAATTATAAACACCCTACCCTCCTCAAAGTTTTGTGGGGAATAAATAAAATGAGATGATACAGAAAGGACCCCCTTATAGCCAGGTGCTGTAAGAACTCCCAGGGGTGTCAATCGGCCAGCACCCCTCCATTCTTCTAGGAACAGAGTCCCCATCTTCTGGGAAATGATCTTCCCCAAAATGCACCTTGTGGTTGGAATAAAGCTGCCATGTGTTGGTGTCTGAGGAAGCTGGGGCGGCCACACCCCACTCTCGTGGTCATCACGACTGATTGCATGGCTCCAGGGCAGGCTTGGAGGGCCTCTTCCCTGGGACATTAATCTTGCTATGAGAAGGAGTATGAATCAGTTCCCCAGGGGAGGAAGCTGTTTAGATGCGAGGTTAGAGATTGCCATAGCTCAGCTCCCTAATGCAGGGAGGTGGCCCAGTGGCAGAGGGGGAAAATAAAGCTGGCATTCAAAGGAGAAAGAAAATACAGAGTTGTGACAATGTGTGTATGTGGTTCAGAGTTTCCTGTGGGTCCAAGTGAATCTGTTCTTCATGACTTGGAAGGATAAGATCCTTTCAGTCCATTCCTCTTTTTTGCCTAAGCCAGTTTTAGTTCTATTTCTGTCACTTCCAAGCAAAAGAGGCTCCATTAAGAGGCTGCCAATGACTATCAGGCCCCCACGTCCATGCTGAGCGCGGGTCTTTCACTCTGCTGCCTCCGCTTCACAATCCAGAGGCTCCTTCTCCAAAACCACTGCACTTGCTTTGTCTTTCATGCACTCCAAACAACTTGTGAGGGTTTCCCAGGTGTCGGGCCCTCTCTCAGAATTCGGGGTTCTGCATATAAACTAAGGAAGACATTCAGAAGTTCTTTCAAGGAAGCACACACTTGGCAGGAAATTTGCACTCCTTGGGCAACAACCCCATATGCCATTGGGAGCCAGGATGAGAAATCTACATGGCCCAACTGGCCAGGCAGTACTGGGGCAAGGCTGCCAGGCACAGAACCATACATTAGATGTACCCAGTCGGGAGGTCAAGTCTGAGTATTTACTCTGATACTCTTGGCATTTTTTTTTATGTAGCATTATTTATGTTGGATGATGCTTCACGTCCTTTATAAAATGGGGTAAATTAAAACTCATTAAAAATTGCTGGCCACCTACATCAACTGAGAACTATTAGGAACAAAAAGATATGTACCTGCCCTTGGCATGCAAATAGTCCTGCAGAGCAAATAGTGCAGAGCGGGAGAACAAGTCAGAAATACCCAACCCCCCATGTATGGGACTCAGATCATCTGGATTTCAAACAGAGAAGGGAAGCATTTGGTGGACTGGGGTGTTTAGGGTAGACTTAGCAGGAGATATATATATATATATATATACATATATATATATAACCTGTTGGAATTGTTTTCTTTATTTTTTTTAAGTTTTTTTTTCAAAGATTTATTTATTTATGCAAGAACCAGGGTACAGGCCAGATGTGCAGGAGGGTGAGAGGATTCACCAGAGACAGAGCGGGGAACAGAACAGGCAGACTGATGAAATACACTGCTGAGGGGAGCAGTGGGCCAGACAGGAGAGGTCTGCTGCACCATGTGGGCATCTCTGCGGCTGGCGGGGATCGAACCGGCACCACAAAGGCTGCTGACAGCTTCACAGCGCTGCGCTCAACTGCCTGCGCCACCAGGGAGGCCCAGAATTGTTTTCTTTAACCTCACAATATTTAATTTTTTAATTCACTGTCATTTTTGAAAATCAGATTTCCTATTTTGAAAAAATGTGAATTTCTGGTTTCCATTGATAAATAGGAGATTCAATGACAATTATTCCCCTTGGCCATGAGCCACTGAATGAGTAACTGCTACCCCCTTTAGACCAGGCAGCCTTGCCCTGGTATCACCCGGTTCCCAAAAGCATATTGGGCTCGCTACCCAAGGCCCACGCTAGAGCTAGAAATGCCCCAGCTTCCCAGGAGGCTCAAAGAAGGAACTTGAGGGTAAACACACATCTGAGGCTCATGCCCACATCAATAAAAACTCAACCTTTTTTAAGTGTCATTGACCAAGGCACCCCAGGCCAGCCGGTATAGACTGTGTTCACCCACCTGGGTCCAGGTGAGCTGGAGCCGGGCAGGGGGGAAGGCTGGCTGTTTTGTAGGAACACATAGAAGGAAGAACCTGTCACCAAGACATCAGCTAGCAAACACCCACCACTGAGAGCCTCAGATGTGCATCCGAGCCTCTTCCTTCCTCTTCTTTTTATTAATGTCCACATTTTTTCACTTTGTTGCATTTGAATGCAGATGATACAGAATGAAATTCCGTTGGCGGCTGTATGTGCGGGAGTGCGCAAAAGTATTTATGAATCCTAAATGAAGCTGGCTGCAGAGCCCAGGAGCTCCAGCAGAGCGCTGGCGTGTGTGCCCGCCGGAGTCTGATCTCTTACACGGGAAGCTGCGTTTGATATCTCATTTGTTGGCTGTGTTCCTCGCAAAGCTGAGTGCTGTTTAACCCACTTTCCCATAGCAGAAGAAAAGGAAGAGGAAGCTGGTTGGGAGAGAGGGAGCACCCCTACTAAAATGCCCTGGAATGGGGAGAAGAAACTATTCCTAGGGCATGTGGGGGGTGCTGCCACCCTCTGGCTGGGTGTAGCATCACAGCCTGTTGAAACAAACCTGCCCCCAAATCTCTCTCCCCTTTGTGGGCCTGCCTCCCTGACTATCAACTGCCCTGAGGTCCCAGAATTGCAGACGAGTTGGAACTGGCTGGGCTTTTATTTGGGTCCCTAGACAAAGATGTGCATTCTCTGTTTTTAGTTTCATAAGAAACTTCCTTTGGGCAAACCAGGACCCCCCTCCAACTCTGGCCTAGGGGAGACACAGCATGTCGTCCTGGCTGGATCCGCCTCTCCCTGCTAGATATTCAGTCCACGCATGACAAAGACTTTGGCAAAATGCTAGCAATCAGAAATCCACTCTTCATAGACATAAAAGAGTCGGTACATAGGTCTCCCCAATAATGATAGTCTACATGCATTAGCATATATTTTCTTGAGAAGCGAACTATCAGACTATGTCCCTAAAAGCAATTCATTCTATTTACAGCTTTTCTGAAGCCCCCGAGAGGGAATCATCTTGGAGCACTGCAGACACCACACTGAAAATAGTGAAAAACATTCAATTTGGAAACAATTTTACCTCGATTTATCTTTTTTTTTCCTGCGTGAGTCAGCCCACTGCTTCTGCTCCTTTCTCTACCTGAAGGCAGTCCTCGCCATGCCTCCTCCTGGGGTCACGATGGCAGGAACAGGGGCTGTATCCCCAAGGTGTGGCTAGGAGGAGGCCAGGAAGGAAGGACACCCCATCTGTCACTCTGATGGGGGCACCTCATGCCCAGGTCCAAGAAGGCTGGTGAGGGAGGCAGAGGCCAGAGGCTACGTCTGATGCAGCAACAGTGTTATTGCTCTGATCCACAGATGACTCTCCAGAAGGTAACTGCAGCTCTTTAAAGCAGTGAAAAGATGAATGTCGTGTCCTATTACCCCATTCTCTGGGCTAATAATAAGATTTTGTAACCATGTCAACAGCAAGAGAAAAGGAATGAGAAAGTATCCCTTTGATTGTATAAAACTCCCAGGCCCCGACCGTCCCAGATGTGGCTCAGCTCCTGGGCATGTGCACCTGAGAAAATGGGGGGCGGTGGCGAGTCTTGTGTCTCTAACAAAGCTGAGGGCAGACGTGAAATCAGGGCTAGGTGAGTAGCAAACACCTGCTTTGTGCCCACAACCATACCTGGAACAGAAAGTATGCAGGTAAATGCAGTTTCTACTTCGGGAAGAAGTTCACAAGGCAGTGGAGCCACTCCCATCTGGCTTGTAAGTGCCCTGGACTTACTCAGGATACAGATGTTGGGGGTCTCCCTTTTCCCAGGGCGAGATCTAACCTCTCTGAGCTCAGCCTCAGTTTCTCCGTTGTTAGATGGGGGTGGTAATAGTTTGTCCTCCATACCCCACAAGCCCCTTGTGAGGATGAGAGGGAAAAAAAATGCAGTGCTTCCAAATCAATAGTGCAATCCTTTTTAAAAAAGAAAAACTGTATGTGAAACTGTCAGAGAAAACAAAGGTAAGAGCTGAGCTGCTATTTTTGGAGGGGTGGGAGCTCAGCGTTCACCCATATTTGCAGCTTCCCTGGCTCCCAAAATTGCCCCTGAGGCACCCATGAGTACCCTACAGCTGTAAGAAGAGTATCTTGAAGACCAGTGAGAAAATGCTTTGAAATTGTGTATTATTATTTTTATTAATGTTCATACGAACTGGCTATTAATGGAGGTAATTGTAGGAATTGAGAGAAGGGAGCGATCAATGTGGACTTAAGTGTTCAAATAGCAGCAGGCGCCACGCAAATCCTCCAAGGGTGACAAGTGTCTGTGGAGGTGGGCAGCAGGGGTTGGGGAGAGGACTCCAGGTGGGGCATGGGCGTGAGCAAAGGCTTGGAGGTACAAGACGAGGGAAGAGGCCTGGTTAGGGTGAGCTGGTGTGTGCAGCAGGGGTGGAATTGGGGGCCTCAGACCAGCTTCTTTAAGCAGCATCAACCAATGAAGCCTCTTGGGACCTCATAGGATGGTCCAATGGGCAGCTCAAACTTGGAAGGAGCGAACTGGGGGTTCCTGAGTGTGGGGACCCTGACTTGGCTCTCTCGCTCTGTGTGGGCCAAAGCATTGCTGTATCTGTATCTGTTGCAGTCAGATTTCCCACATCCAGGACCATTTGCTCTGCTGGTAAAAATCCTTTTCTCTGGACCCTGATTCCAACTCCTGCTTCTGTCCCATAGCTGTCATGGCCCTGTGCTGCCCTGCCACTAACTGATGTGTGTGTGGAGGCGTTAATCCCCAACCTCCAGGCAAACATCTCCTAGAAAGCCTGTTAGCCAAGCATTCAGGGATTTCCCTAGACCCCCCATGGAGCACTCAGCTGTGGTTCCTCCATTAGGACCCTGTGCCTGTGGGGAGGCCTGACCCCACCCTACCTTCTCCAATGTAGTCCCTTTCGCCCCAGGGATGACTGACCTTCCCTGTTTGCCTCCAACACCTTGTTGTCTTGTCCTCTTTGAAATGCTTGACAGCAGCAAATGCTTGGGTCTAAAAGCAAAATAATGAAATCAAATGAAAGCTCCCCAATTTCTCAACCGCTTGTCCTTGGTCCGGTGTGGTGCACGACATGCATTATTCAGAGAGGAGCAGCTGCATTACCTGAAGCAGAAATTCTGTTTTTCAGGTGCCAATCTGGAGGGATGGTTGGAGTGGAGCTGGATGGTTCTGCCCTGGAGCCTGTGGGTGCTTCGGGTGGAGAAGGGTCCAGCTTTGCTACTGCATCCCACAAAGTTATCGAAGTAGCTTGTATCTGGTGTGTGCTCATGGGAAAATTCAGTCAGTGAGCCCATCCTGAGAGGAAGGGAACCCTGACGGGCAGGGTAGATATGAAGGGCACCAGTGGAAAGATGAAAGGAGGGAGCAAGCAGGCTGTCTGGATGGAGGGGCCCCTACTCCACAGGAGACCCCCCAAGGTATAGCCCACACCCCCCAAGGTATAGCCCACATTGTAGGTATAGCCCACATCTCCTGCTGAATGCACCAGATACAGGAAATTAAGAGAACAGAGATGTTCTTTTAAATGATAATGCCATGTAAATAGAAGTGAGAGAAGGTAGAAAAGGTGATCTTGTTGGTCCAGATAGCCATTCCCTTTCCCTAAGGCCACCGTGCTCCCTTGCCTGTTTGCTTGTGACTTGCTGTGGCCCCTGCGAACCCCCTCCACCTTCAGACCCCCATCCCCGTTGGCAAACTTGACCATGTGACATACTTGGACCAATGGAATGTTGGACGGTTCAGAAGCCAGAAGAGGGCTAGTGTGTTCTGCCCATTCTCTTGCTTGGGTTCCTTCTACTGTTCCTTCTACTGTTCCTTCCACATCACAAATTAGGGGCTGCCCTTTCAGCCCAGGCCCCAGAAGGAGAAGACACACAGAGCATATCCACAGGGCCTGCATGCTCTGTGAAAGAAAGAAATGCTGTGGTTATGAGCCACTGAGATTTTAGGGCTTGCTTTTACCATAGCAAAGCTGGCTAATATAGTTAATGTCAATCAATGATGAGGAAATTAATCACGTCTGCCTTGAGTTAAGCTTTTTTAAACTTGATTTGTTTATTTAATTGATTGTTGTCATCTTCACTTGGGGTGAATAGCATTGATAAATAAGAGGGGTTGTTTGTTTTAATGAATCCATGGAAGAATGCTGTTGATTTTTCAGAATCCATGTATTAAGATTTGACAAGTCCTAGGCCTGAGCTTCTAACTGGATTTCCCTTCTCTCATGGTTGACTAGATCTGAACATAGTGTGTAGTTGTCATTTCTCTGCCTTAAGCCTGCTGAGAATGCATCCCTACCACCCTCTGGCCAGTGTCCCACCTATTAGTCTGGTCAGTTCTCCTTCAGCTCTGATCCAGTAAGTGTTACTAAACAGATACCATGACCTATGGGGGTATATCTGCATGACCTCATTTGGTTCTCAAAACAATAATTTAACATAGGTAATATTGTTGCTATAGCAACCCCTCTATTCCTATGTTGAAACCTAATCCCCAATGCCATGCATTAGGAAGCAGAGTCTTTGAAAGATGATTAAGTCGTGAGGGTGATGCCCTCATGAGTGGGATTAGTGCCCTTAGAAAGAAGACCCCATGTCTTCTGCCATGTGAAGACACAGTATATGGCACAGCTGTGTGTGAATCCAGAAGCAGGCCCTCCCCCACACCAAACTGCTTTTTCTTGGATGGCTTAGCCTCCAGAATGGTGAAAAATAAGTTTTTATTGTGTATACATCACACAGTCTTCAGTATTCTGTTACAGAATCCTGAGTGGAGTAAGACAATCAATTGTTAGGTACCTTTCGAGAACATCAAGGATCCAAAGAATTTGTGGAAGGCATGAAACTGATCAGGAGGAGATCAAGATTTTAAGCTAGGTTTCTTCATTCTGGCCCAGAACTCTCTTCAATACTCTATGAACTCTCTTCAATACTCTCTTGAACTCTCTTCAATACACCATGGATTTAAGGTGTTCTGCCTAAGGCTACGCTTTAGGATCTATTTGCCCAAGGACCAGGGACATGTGTTCATGGACTGGTGGTTGGAAGACAGGGCAGAGATAAGACCCTTTGTACTTTATACATTTATATTGCAATTTATAATTCATTTGCATTATATTCCTGGAATGGGCAAGGCAACAAACTATGACCCTCTGAATTTCAGGGAGCTCATTTACCTTTTTGGGAGGGACTTCTGTGTCCTTGTGGGACAGAAGCATTAGTGGAACCAAAAATAGGTA